TGGTGAATGTGCAGGGAGGTTACTGATACAGAGTGGTCAGAGATGGCCGCACAAGGATGATGTTTGAGCTGAAGAAGCCAGAAGTGTCCAGAAAAGGGAAGGAAGGAACCAGAGTTGAAAACATCGGGCCCGCCAGGCTGGCTATTTTCTAACAAGCAAAGAGGAGAACAACATGAGGTTCACTCTTAGAGGTTTAGAGTCTGATCACGCAGGGCCTGAAAATAGGGAATTTGAATGTGTGCAGAACAGGCTGACAGCTGACTGCTCTTCGTAGACAACACCCCCAGCTGCTGGGGCAACGAGGCCTTGAATAGGGAGCACATCTCCGTATCTACCAGAAGAATATTTCCATCATCTTGAGAAAGTTCCCTTATGTCGATTCTCAGCCCCACCAGAGGCAATGGCTGGTGGAGATATTTATCACTGTGAGTTAGTTTTGGTTAATCCTAAACTTCGCATGTAAGGAATTACAAGATCTGTTCTCTTTTTTGCCTGACCTCTTTCACTAAACGTAATGTTTTTGAATTTCATCCATGTGGTGTGTGTGAGTAGTTCATTTCTTTTTAATGTGTGCTATTCTATTGTATTGATATGCTACCATTGGTTTTTCCATTTTCCTGTTGAACATTTAGACCATTTCCAGATTTGGCTATTATGAACAAAGCTGCTATAAACAAGTCTTTTGGGGAACAAACATGTTTCTTTATCTTGGGCAAATACCTAGCAGTAGAAATACTGGGTCATGAGGTAGGTGTATATTTAAGAAATTGCCAGACGTTTTATATTTTCACATCTAAGGTCGGAGAGTTCTAGTTACTCCACCCCTTTGCCAGTATTTGGCATTGTCACACCTTTCCATTACAGTCATAGATGTGACGAGAGGCATCTCTTGGTTGTTTTCGTTTGCATTTTCCTGCTGCCTGACACGCCTTCGTGTGTACTCGTCTGCCATTTGTGTATCTTCTCTTGCGTAATATCTATTTAAGTCTTTTGCACCACCACCCTCTCCTTTCAAAATTAGATTGGTTGATTTCTTATTTTTGAGTTGTCGGGATTCTTAGACATTCTGAATACAAGTCTTTTATCAAACATATATTGCAAATATTTTCTCCCAGTCTGTAACTTATGTTTCATTTTCTTAACTACCTTTGGAAGAGCAAAGGTTTTAAATTCTGATGAAGTTCATCTTACCAATTTTTTCTTTTATAGTTCCTGCTCGTCATGTCTTATTGCCAAGTTCTAAATATTTTTCTCATAAGTTTTCTTTTATTTTTTTTTAAAGTTTATTTATTTGTTAAGACAGCAAAAGAAAGAGAGAGGGTGCCAGCAAGCGGGAGACAGGCAGAGAGAGAGGGGGTCAGAGTGTCGAAAGCAGGCTCTGTGCTGACAGCTGAGGGCCTGATATGGGGCCTGGACTCACGAACCAGGAGATCATGATCTGAGCCGAAGTCCCATCAACTGAGCCACCCTAGTTCCCCTCTCCTGTGTTTTCTTGTAGAAGTTCTATTGTTAGCACTTACATTTGCTTCTAGTATAATGTTTCAACTTAAGATTCATTTTGTTTCTTTTCTTTTTTTGAAGCAGTTACAAGCCCACTCAGATTACAGAGAAGGGCATAGACCCCACCTTTCAGTGAGATAACACTATTTAATCATTGTTATGTACAGCTACATGATGTATTTGTGTGCCAAGTGGTCGAAATGAAATATCTGGTGCATCCCTAAATATTTTAGACTGGTGGCTGCACTTTATAATAGGCTAAAAAGTATGGAACTTGAAAAAAAAAGTACATAATTTGAAATTTTGATAGAAAGGAAATTAAGACATCCAACTTTGGCAAGAGCAAAATTTCCCACAGAAATGAAGAAACTTGTACAAAATTCTAAAACAAGGTCTTTTATCTTGAAAGAGGTAACCTAATAAAGGATATGAAGCACACTTGAAGAATATAAAATTTGTTTATTTCTTTAAACAATGTGTTTAAGTTTACTTATTTTGAGAAAGAGAGAGAGAAAGCAGGAGAGAGTGAGAGCACAAGCAAGAGCACAAGCAGTGGAGCGGTAGAGAGAGGGAGAGAGAGAATCCCAAGCAGGCTCTATGCTGACTGATGGCGGGGCTCAAACTTATGAACTGTGAGATTATGATCTGACCTGAAATCAAGAGTCGGACACCTAACCAACTGACCCACCCAGGTGCCCCTGTTTATTTCTTTATCAAATAGTTATTGAGTATATGCTACGTGCCGTGCTGAGTTGAGCTTGGGCACTGAAAGAGTTCACTGCCAACAGTCCCTGCCCTCAATGACTTTACAGTCTAGTAGGGAAGACCACCATGTAAACAAACAACACCCCAAAGGACAATGGTCATAAAGCAGGCTTTTGGTACGCGACGTGCCAAGTGTAAGACTTCCACAGATTGCTCTGGAGAGATACAATCTTGTTTGCCAGGATGAGCAGTGACTTGCCATGGAAACTATCAGGGGCCTCTGTGGTCTAGGCAAGGGAAGGAACATGCGAAAGAGAAGATTAGAAAGTTTCTAACTGGTGTGGCATGTTCGGAGAAGTAGGGGAAATCTTGCTGTGTAAAGTCTGCTTTCGGCAGCTTTTCTAGTCCACGGTGGTAAAGAGCCAATGGTTTCCGACAGATTCCGTTGCCTTTTGGTTTGGCACTTTATCCTGAGGACATCAAGGAAACTATTCCCATTCTCCGATCCTGATAGTTAAGGACCAGAAGGAATCTAACATCCTGCAATTACCCTGGAATGTGGAATTATTCCAGCATTTCTTTTAACCAGTTTACAGGATATCGGTCGCTAAATGTTGGGGTTAAAAAAATACTTCGCAAGGACAGTATCGAAGCTACATTTATTGTTGTCCACTCTGCCATTTTTCAAATGTACAGAGAAATTCTAAAGAAATTTTTCTAGAGAAGTTGCTGGAATTATGTAATAGTGACAGCTGACCAGTTAAGCATTGCGATAGTCCAGTTAGTCAAGGGAATCTAAGTCTCAATCTTAAATGTGAGGAGGAACCTAATATCTCTAAATTTGGTTTTCCTTACCATCTGCTAAATATATTTTAGAGAGCATATACATCCAATTTACATATATTTGTATGAAAAAGGCTAGGAAATTCTGAACAAATATGTATTTGAGTACTGTTTATTAAGAAATGGCCAGAAAAGTAAATTGTGCCAGAGGTAAGTGCAAAAGAAAAGAACGTGTAGTCTTCAGGAAGCATTTTTATACATGGAGGAAAGACTACGATGAAGACATTATTCTCAGCAAATAATCCTAAATTCAGAAGGGAGACCTAAATATATTTACTCAGTGTTTTATTTGAAGAAGCAACAACTTTAATTTGATCCACACTTGATGAGTATTTTTCTTCTTATCGGAAGAAATACATAAATAAATAAATACCGACAATCTGAGTTTCTTTTTAGGCAGCTTCCAATTTCTGAAGCCCAGGCTGCAGAGTCCTCCGAGAGAAGCATCTCTTTCTGCACTGTGCATTCATCACTGTCATGTTGCATGGCCATCACAGTTTCAGAAAAGTTTCTGAAGTATTCCCTTTTTTTCTACCCAAGCAATATAAATAACACCGATAGTATTTTCCATTGTGAAGTTGATACTATGGCGATGAAAATAATGTGCTCCTACCAGATATCTGAATAACTCTCAGGAGATGCCACCCAAAGACATTCATGTCCACATCCCCGTCCAGAAAGGAGCAGAAAAGGCAGAAAAGTCCAGGAAGCCGTCCATGGTCCGCCTGGCAGCTGGACCTGTCAGGTTTGGTGTGACACTGGTTTCTGCCACAGTCCATGTTCTGTTTATTGAGCACTGCTCTTCTGTTGTCTGAGAATTACACTTCTGTGGCTTCATCCTACTGAATTATGGGAGACACCAGCTTGCTAAGGTGGATCATTTGGTGGATAGAGCATAAAAAAATTTCCTGCCTTATTGAAACATCCAGGTAACCTTAGTTTTATAGCACCTTCACATGTAGGTCAAGGTATAAAAGTTTCCAAGATTAAAAAAGAGTTTCAAAGCATCAACGTTTCAGAAAGTTCAGATTATCAGCTACAGATTAGTACTTTTAGATGCATAAAGCTGTTTTGGTTTGGTCTGGTTTTTTGGGCAGACTGTTTTGGAGCTTGCCTGTGACTGGATATATCCTATATGGTGTGAGATTCAGAGTTATCACCACTGGGCATCGTGCCGATTTGGATCTTTTTGATTCCTAGTTAACTATTCTCTATGCAAGAAGGGTAACAAACACTACATACGACACCAGCCACATTCTTAGGAAATCTAGCACCTGATCATAGCCAGGCTCCTCAAGTGTCAGTTTTCCTCTTAGAAACTCCAGACTATTCATAATAAAAACTCTGGAGAGAAAACAGGAAGAAGGCTCATTTCTGTTTTATTTCCTATTTGAAGTCCTTAGTGAGATATGGGCATTACAAGGAGAAGAATGCTGGGAATGACAAGTATGAGGAGCTCAGATTAAAATCTAGGAAGTGCTTTCTTGGGCAGGTTGGTCAGGGATGCTGGTGGAGTGAGCTCACTGGAGGAGAAGAAGAACTTAAATCAGAGTAAGGAGATATTTCCTGATGCTTACTTCAAAGATTATTGAGTGACTTATTTCAGGTGTCAAGTGATTTATGCCCAAGAAAGGTGGATACATAGGCTTTGAACAGATTGACTTAGTTTGCCTGTAGTGTGTACAGCTAATTTATTCAGTTCATCAATGAAGCAGTAAAATAATGGATAGAACAGCTGATTGCAGGTTAGTTCTAGTTGATCTTTGAAATCCTACATTGCCAGCCTCTAAGATGGTCCCCTCTGATCTTTGCTTCTTGGTATTCATGCCTTTATGTAGTATCCTCTCACACTGAAACATGGCTGGTCTGTGTGACCAATAGAATACGGCAGAGGTGACTTCCTAGGCTAGGTCATAAAGGACAATGAAGTTTCTACCTTGTTCTCTTAGTTCAGTTTTTTTGGAAGAAGCCCATAACTATGTCATGAAGGCACAAAAGAGGCCCTAGGGAAAGATCCATATGAGGAAGAATTGGTCCAACAGCCAGCCGCGTGAGCCACCTTGGAAGTGGATCCTTCAAGATCTGTCCAACATTCAGTTGAATACCTCCCCAGCCACTATCTGAAGTAACCTCATGGGATACTCTGTGCCAGAATTGCCTAGCCGAGTGAGTCCAGAACTCCTGACTCACAGAAACAAAAAACAAATTGTGTTATTTTAATGTATTAAGTTTTGTAGTGATTTGTTACATGGCAGTAGATAGTTAATGTTGAACTTCATCTCCCATCTGATTTCTAGTTGCCTCAAAAATTCCTAAACTTGAAGGCCAAGATCCATACAGTCCTTGTGCTCTCATGGATTGTTATTGTTCACTAAAATCTACTTTCCTCAACTTCCAGTGCACACAGCTAGACTACATCCTCCAGCCTCTCTGGAGGATAGGTAGGCCATGTGATTAGGTTCTGGCCAGTGGAGCGTAACTCAAAACCTGGCTCGTAAAACTTCCCAATTGTGCTCCCCCATGCTATTTTGCCTTTATGCCTGATTTGGATACAACCCTCAGAGTGATCTTTTAAGTTCTGTGTTGAAGATGGCATTGCCACCGTCAGCCCTAGTCCCTCGAAGACCATGTGGAACAACGTGGACTGTTCTGTAAACAAGAAATGACCTTTGTTCTAATGCCACAAAGCTTTGGGGATCGATCTGTTACACGAACCTACCTTATTCTAATCTACGCAGTGCCCTCCCATTTTCCAGACCCTTCCTGGAATCTTTGCCAAATTTCCCTCCCCACCCCGCAAAAGTTTCCTTTCCTGTGTACTATTTCTTGAAAGTAAAGTTCTCTCATAAACTGGTAAACAAATCTATTCTAATACACTCAACAAGTGGGCCTGCATTAAGGTTTGAGCACTACAAGATAACGTATTGCAATTTAACAGGGTCTCTGACAGATATCTATTAAGGTAAAGAAGAAACTCCAGAGAATTTCAAGAAACTTAGCAAGCTAATGAAATAGCTTTTGGAGGAAAGGCAGAATTTGTGTGACTCCAGTCACAGCACACAGGGACCTTCCAACATTAGTAGGATGTTGGTACTGAATTACAATGTATTCTCAGAGTTTTAGTCTCGCTGACTCCAGGGAGGACGAAGATGGAGCTTTGCCTATCAGCTTGGTGTGGCACCACATCATTAGGTTTGTTGTTCCTGGAGACTAGTGTTTGGGCTAATTTCTCATACATGTTTTCCGCATCCTTTAGGCAACAGCAAGAGAAGAAGCCGAATATAGTGATCTGAAGATGAGAAGTTATGTGGCATACTAAGACACGGAGGAGGATCCCACCCTGACTTGATGAAAGCGTTTTGGTTTTAGTTCAGTTTTTTGTTTGCTTTATGAGAAGGAGATTAAAAAAGAAGACAGGAAGGAAGAAAATATCCACCCGTGGTAGCCACACCTGGAAGGTTACGCCAACTAAGGAAAGATTATGCCAACATCAGATTTTACCAGACACTTGCCTTCGTGACTCCTGCTACAGATTTCTTGCCATTCCCCGTGCAGCCAGAGAGGGGTGACTGGACAGTATGTCATGTTCTAGCACATTAATATCTGTAAGTGGTAACAGAGCAGTTTAAGAATGTCTCTTATGGATAATAATTAGGAAATACATAATAACTAGGAAATAAATACATAATAACTAGGAAAACATTTTCTTTGAAGTGGTGCCTTAGCCTGGGCTCCCCAGGAAGCAGAGCCCCAGGCAGAAAGCCTATGTGCAATCCCTGTATTAATTCCACACCATCCTAGGGGGCAGAAGTGAGGGCAGAGGAGAATGATGCAAGGTAAAGGGTGCATTTGTCCAAGGTTCCATCACCTACTGGCCAAGGATTCTCCCCACAAGGTATTAACTCCCTTGAGTTTCCAGGTTGTACTTGGAGGGGAACACATCAGTAGAGATTAGTTGCATTTTCTATAATTTATGTAAATGGAATCAAAGTAAGTGCTTTCTTTTGTTTTCTATTTTTATTTTTTTTTTCCACTCAGGATAATGAATTTGAAATTCATCAGTGTTAGCACACGTCAATAGCTGTAGCAGATGCAAGCTAATGTGACCTCCTCAGAGCCATGACCTTTTCAGTCTCCTCCTCCAAGTTGGCTGGGACATGAGACTTGCTTCTGACCAATAGACTATGGCAAAGGTGGTGGGATGCCATACTCCTGTTCATTTTACTTTTGTTAACTGAGATTGTTAACTCAATTTAGTGTTAACTTGAGATCCTTAATTCACCTGCAACATATTTTAAATAGTGATGTGAAGTAAGGTTCTAAATTTTAAAATACCTTGTAAGTAGTCCCCAGCTTATTGATTTCTTTTTTCCATCATTAAAAAAATTTTTTTTAACATTTATTTATTTTTGAGAGACAGAGAGAGACAGAGCATGAGCAGGGAAGGGGTAGAGAGAGAGGGAGATACAGAATTCAAAGCAGGCCTCAGGCTCTGAGATGTCAGCACAGAGGCCAACACAGGGCTCGAACCCAGGAACCGCGAGATCATGCCCTGAGACAAATTCAGATGCTTAACTAACTGAGCCACCCACGTGCCCCATGTTTTTCCATCATGTTGCACTACCCGATGTATCATATATTAAACTCTTATATCTAGAACAGATTCTGGATGAGAAAGGACTTTCCAAAACTGAAAACCACAGGGGAGGTGGGAATCACAGAAAAAATAAAATGAGAAAAATTGGAAAGACAAAATGCTATTACTGGAGGACAAAATAGCAATGAAAATGGGGAAAGAAGGGTTGTTTCCTGCTTATACAGTACTTACAATTTTGTGTGTAAAGGAATTTACAAAAAAAGAAATATACGTTTCTGACAAACATAACCCTAATAAAAGTTAACATGTGTTAAACAGTAGTGCGTCCAGTCACCAGGCTAATTGTTCTACATGGACCTCAGTTAATCCTCACAATAGTCCTGTGAAGTCATAGAGTTTGAGTATATTTTAATCTCAGAAAGTACCAAGATACTATTCATTTTTCACTTAATCAATTAGCAAAGTTTATTGACATGCTGTTGGTAGGAATTCCTGGATAGGACACAAAAACCACAAGTCATTAAAGAAAAATGTCAAAAATGTCATTACATTTAAAATTACATTTTGAGGGGCGCCTGGGTGGCGCAGTCGGTTCAGCGTCCGACTTCAGCCAGGTCACGATCTCACGGTCTGTGAGTTTGAGCCCCGCGTCGGGCTCTGGGCTGATGGCTCAGAGCCTGGAGCCTGTTTCCGATTCTGTGTCTCCCTCTCTCTCTGCCCCTCCCCTGTTCATGCTCTGTCTCTCTCTGTCTCAAAAATAAATAAACGTTGAAAAAAAAATTAAAAAAAAAATTACATTTTGATATTCAAAATATACCATTAAGAAATGGAAAGACAAGTCACAAATGGGAATAAAAGATTTGCACTAAATATATCCGATAAAAAGACTTGTGTTTGGGAGATGCAAAGAAAGTCCTAAAACTCAATAAGGAGAAAACGCATTTAAAAAATAGGCGAAAGATTGGAAGAGACACCTCAGCAAAGAAGATATACAGATGGCACATAAGCATATGAAAAAGCTCAACAACTTGAGTCATTAGGGAAATGCAAATTAAAGTCACAGTGAGATTCCAGTACAACATATCGGTAGGGCTAATATTAAAAAGATTGGCCATACCAAGTGTTGGCAAGGATTTGAAGCAAGTGGAACTCTGATCCACTGTTGGTGGGAATGTTCAATGGAAAATCACTTTGGGAAAACAATTTGGTGGGTTTTTTTTTTTTAAGTTAAGCACTCACTTGGGGCACCTGGTGGCTCAGTCCTTTAAGCATCTGACTGGCTCAGGTCATGATCTCACAGTCTCCTCTGTAAGTTCAAGCCCTGCCTCGGGCTCTGTGCTGACAGCTCAGAGCCTGGAGCCTACCTAAGATTCTGTGTCTCCCTCTCTCTCTGCCCCTCCCCTGCTCATGCTCTGTCTTTCTCTCTCAAGAATAAACATTAAAAAAAACTTTTTTTAAAGGTTAAGCACTCACTTAGCATATAACCCAGAAACCCCAATTCTAGGTATTTGGAATGAAAGCATCTTCAGAGGAAAACTTGTACACAAATGCTCATAGCAGCGTTCCTCAAAACAGCCCAAACCTAAAGCAACCCAAATATTTCAAAGGGAAAAAGAATAAACAAATAGTGGTAAATCCATACCATAGAATACTCCTAAACAATAAAAAAGTAATGAACTTCTGCCATACACAACAATGTGGAAACATATCAAAAACATTATGAGGAGTAAAAACAATGCAAATCCAAAAGCATACATACCGTGTGATTCTATTTATATGAAATTCCAGAACAGGCGCAACCCATCTATATTGACATATTGATGTTGCCTAGGCCAGGGAAGGGGGGGAACACAAAGGGACACTTTCTTTTATCGAAAGATTCTGTATTTTAATTTGTAATAGTGAATGTAGGGCACGTAGTTTTTTTTCTAAAATTCCTTGAAATACAACTTAAAATGGGTATATTTTATTGTAAGTATATTATACCTTAATGAAGCTGCTTATTTTAAAAGATTTTTACTCCAGTGGGGTTTTTTTTTTTACATTATTAAAACTAAAAAACTAAAAAAGTATCTTGAACAAAAATTTTGCTATACAAAAGGAAACCTTGTTAAAGACATAATGACATAGCCTCATGTTCAAGAAGTATATATTATATACAACAAGATTTAACTTATGTGTGGAATCTAAAAAACAAATAAATGATGGGGCACCTGGGTGGCTCAGTCAGTTAAGCATTTGACTCTTGGTTTTGGCTCAGGTCATGATCTCACGGTTTTGTGAGTTCGAGCCCCAATTCGAGCTCTGTGTTGACTGTGTGGAGCCTGCTTGGGATTCTCTCTTTCCCTCTCTCTCTCACAATAAATAAACATTTTTAAATAAATAAATAAAAACAAGTAAATTAAACAAAACAAAACAGAAACAGACTCGCGGTGAACACATTGGTGATTCACAGAGCGAAGGGAAGTGGGGAGGATGGAAGAAAGGGTGAAGAAGTCTGAGGCCAGTCTTCAGTTTTAAAAGAAATGAGACATGGGGATGTGAGGTACAGTATAGGGAATATAATAAAAAGAAAGGTGAAGAATGTCTAATGACAGGAAAATGATTAAAATGGATTTTTAAGGGAAAAGAGTCACATAACCATATGTGACTTGTACCTCTCTTCAAAATTTTCCAAATCAGCCCTTACAGCTTGAAAGTCAATTTCTTTTGTGCTTGCATGCTCCCTTATTATTTTTTTTTGTCTTGGCAAAATACTTGTTTAATTGTGTAGCCTTTTCACAAATTAGTTTGTTGCTCAAGGATACATTTTGTCCCTGACTTTATACTCATAAGTGAGAAGAAAGAAGAATGTAAGTACACAGTTTGCTTCTTCACAACATGGGAACAGATCTAGTCACATGAAGAAATACACTTTGCAGAATTTTTTTTGTTTAGCGGGATCGAACCAAACCAGGTACACTGAAAATACTACACATTAAAAATTTGGTATAAATAATGTGTTTAAAAACACATTTAGGTAGAGCTTATTGTAATTGTGCTATTTTCTTTCTTGAAAATTAGAGTTCATGAGGGCGCCTGGGGGGCTCAGTCAGTTAAGCGTCCAACTTCGGCTCAGGTCATGATCTCGCGGTCCGTGAGTTTGAGCCCCGCCTTGGGCTCTGTGCTGGCAGCTCGGAGCCTGGAGCCTGTTTCAGATTCTGTGTCTCCCTCTCTCTCTGATCCTTCCCCGTTCATGCTCTGTCTCTCCCTGTCTCAAAAAATAAATAAACGTTAAAAAAAATTAAAAAAAAAGAAAATTAGAGTTCATGAAGTTTTGCACAGTACATGATTTTATCTTTAAAAATAGTTATAAAATTTCAGGAGAAATTATATTTGGCTTTATTTCACATTTAGTCTAAGATTTTATCATTTTAATTGTCCTTGGGGCTACTTGTACGTCAGAGGAGCATTAACCCAGTTTTCTTTAATCAAGAGAGTGGAACTCAACACCCAAAAAATAATCCAATGAAGAAATGGGCAGAAGACATGAATAGACACTTTTCCAAAGCAGACATCCAGATGGTCAACAGGCACATGAAAAGATGCTCAACGTCACTCATCATCAGGGAAAGACAAATCAAAACCACACTGAGATACCACCTCACACTAGTCAGAGTGGCTAAAATTAACAACTCTGGAAACAACAGATGCTGGCAAGGATGTGGAGAAAAGGGAACCCTCTTGCACTGTTGGTGGGAATGCAAACCGGTGCAGCCACTCTGGAAAACAGTGTGGAGGTTTCTCAAAAAATTAAAAATAGAATTACCCTACGAACCAGCAATAGCACTACTAGGAATTCATCTGAAGGATAAATGAGAGCTGATTCATAGGGGCACATGTACCCCAATGTTTATAGCAGCACTTTCAACAAGAGTCAAATTATGGAAAGAGCCCAAATGTCCGTCAACTAATGAATGGATAAAGATGTGGTTTATATATACAATGGAATACTACTTGGCAATGAGAAAGAATGAAATCATGCCATTTGCAGCAATGTAGATAGAACTAGAAGGTATTATGCTGAGTGAAATAAGTCAACCAGAGAAAGACAGATATCATATGT